AGTTTTGCATGTAAAAAGAAAATATGAATTACTTAGCAAACATAAGTGAAATCAGTGAATTATAAATGCATATTAAAATAATGGCTAAGTAATTCATCACTTGAAGATTTTAGAACATAAAATTTGTGTAAAATTACTTTTTTTCCTTATAATGTGCAAAGTGTTGTTTTACCAAAAAGTGATTTTTTTAGAATTTTTTGAGGTTTAATCAACTTAAAAAGTTCTTTTTTAGTTGATATTTCTTTTTATAATTCTTTTTATCGAATGAAATCTGATCCATCATTTAAAAACTCTAATAATGGTTTAATACAAGGAGGTGGTGATTTTATTAATGCAGCAAAATATTCAGATATCATTTGTTCTTTTTATTTAATAAATTTATTTTCCCCAAATAAGGATTGAAAGAATTCTTTCTTTGGAAATGGCGGAAACTTATATTTTAACATTAATATATACATTATATTCTGGATTTATATCATTCAAAATGGAATGTAAATCTGATAATTAATTAAATTTGACCCTAATATCCCTATGTCCAAGAGTTCGTGTATTGATGATACGCAATTTGTATAAAATATTATCAGAATAGGTCTCCACTCCTAATATTTTAATATCATAACTCAAAATGTTCATTATAATAAATTATAAATAAAATAAAATGATTGTTTTTAAATATCTTGGTGATATGAATATTTATATAATTTGATATCAAAATTAACTTTAAACAATTCCTACCCAACCGAATATAACTCCCAAAATAATTAAATACTAAATTCAATTTATCTCTATATTCTCTAAGATAAATAAAACAGATAATGTAATTACTTAATATTATGTAAAATGAGAGAGAGGATATACACTATATATTTGGAATGCTAAAATAAAAAAGATTTATTTAAGATCTAAAAAGAATCAAAACTATTAAATTCAAAGGTAATCTAGCTATTTTGGGTTTATATTTTTAAACTTCTGTTCAAGTTAATATTCTATTATATTTGATTATAGCATATCATGAATAATCAATATAAATGCATTATATTTAAAGGAACATCAAATAATAGTGCTATTAGTTATACATAATTTCTGAATGATAAAAATATCTCCTTGATAATTATTAATAATCAAAATGTTTTTTATTATCTTGAAATGTTAAGTATTCGCTAATTCTTTTCCATAATTTAGATTAAATTTAGATTTTTGGATTTTTTAATTCCTTTCAATTTGGGAATATAAAGAAATGACAAAAATAGATAAGAATGTTATTAAAAAGGTTTAAAAATATTGAGATCCATATCTATCAATTTAATTATAATGTCATCATTCTGTTTACCCCTTATGAAGGCAAATTATCTCTGGTCAATACTTATCTCAAAATATTTAAAAAGTTCATAAATAAATAAATGAAAAGTAATCTAGATTTATGTTATTGCCAAAATACATTAACAGATAGTTAATATTTCAAAAATCTTTTCATTTATTTCCTAAAGTCATTTTGATGAATTCACTAAGAGATCAACATTATATATCATCTTTACTCTAACTTAAAATATACATTGATATACATGAGATTAGAGTACAAAATGCAATCAGCAATAATTCAATTATTTAACCCTATTATTTGCTCTATCTTAAGTACTATTAATTTTTATACATTGTAAATCAAGGATCCCTGCTCCAAAACATTAAACAAATAAACTAATTATATCCAATCTTATTCCAGCTTTTTTATTAGAGTAAATATATGTTGATGATACGAGTTCTTTTATTTTTCTTACTCATGTGTTGGCTCTTCAATCTCCAAGTAATTATTAATAAACTTTTATTATGTGTCATTTTATGAACTTGTGAATATGACATTATTAATATAATGAATGACATTATTTTAACCAGACGTGAGCAATTTAGAACAGAAATTCGCAAACAATCATTAGAAAAAATGTTTAAACTCAAAAGAACATTTCCTATCCTATCAACTCTTTAAACATAACAAAATTTGAATCTAAACCAATTTGAGCTCAATTCTACAGATCAAATTAAACATTAGATTCAAAACATTTTAAATAAACCAACCAACACCAATATTGAAAAACTTATTATTTTGATATAAGAACTTGATATTTAGAATAAAATCAATCTTGTAGATAAAAATGTTTATGAATTACTTAAATCACCCAATTTAGACTTAAATCTTACTTTACTTTTAATGAATACACTCTGTAGCGAACCTGTCATTATCAAACACATATTTTTAGATTAAATTTAAACTGATAGAATAATGCAATTCTTAAACTACCTTTATAACAAACAATAGCATCTTAATATTTTTATGTATTGGGAATTTTTATGTATTCTATCGATATCTTCAAATACTCCATTTATATGTCTTAAATAGATTTATATTCTCTGTTGTAAAGAGGTTATAGAATCTCGAAATAACACTATATCATTTTCAGCTCAAACTTTTTCATGTATAATTGAGAAAAATCCTGTTAACCTTTAATTCTATTGGGATACTATAAATTAATTAGATGATGAAGGTAGAAGACCTTGGAAATCTATATTATATTTTTTAAAACAATCCTATGTTGATGAAAATTCATGTCAATATTTTTTACTTACAATAAATTATTTTATCTAATATTTTAGTAATAATTTTGAAGATTAAAAATTTCATTAAATTGTGAATCCAGAATTAATTTCAATTTTATAATTCAATATGTATAGACACGAAAAAACTTTAATTATTTCTGCTTAATTGTTCTAATCCATTTTTCACAAAGATAATTCTTATTTTTCATTAATAGTTAATGATTTAGTAAAATTATTATACAATACAACTATGGAAGGTTTAATAGAAATATTAAAGGTATTTGAGATTCTTTTAACAAATGAACAAATTGTAAAATCGACAATTAGATCCTAAAACATAGTTGAATAATTATTCAATCTTCTAAGATCTAACATTTTAGTGGCTATTAATGATTTGGCTCTTAAATGCATTTCTAATTCAATTACTCGTTGTTCAAACATTTAACATTTTCAAATCATTTGCAATAAATAATATAGATAAACATTAGAGATGTATACACTTGATGTAAATAAATAACTTTAAGATATGGCTTAATAACTTTTAGATTTTTACTTTGAATATTGATTATATGTAATTTAAATAAAATAAATGTTTTTCACTCCTTAATTTTAAGAATTCATGGAAAAAGAGAAATCTATCTATTCCTCTTTGTAACAACATCTTGATATCATATTAGTATACTAATTTATTTAAATAGGCTAATCAATTAGATTTTACTTATCATTCTGTGTTTCAATTATTTTGTCATATATCAATTTTACACAATACTTAAGCTAATGTTTTTTAGGCCCTCATGAAAATGATAGGGAGTTTGGTAGAACAAAATAAATAGAAAAAAATTGATGATTTACTTCTTTTTGATAATCAACCAAAATCGGCTTCATTTTTACAACCAAATTTTTTTGAAATATTTGAAGAAAAATAAACTCAATCATATAAAAAATAAAAATTATTAAACACTAATGATGATTAAAAGAAATTTTCAATTTAAACCGAAGCCGATGTTCCAAAAGAGAAAATATTTAGAGAGGCTATAAAAAACAAAAAAGAAAGATAATAAATAGATGCTCATCATTGTGAAGAATGTGAGAAATTCTATAAAGCTTTACCAAATTCAAATCATACAGAAAAATTAAAACAGGATTTTTCAAGGCATCGAATGAATCATAAGATTAATCAAGAAAAATTACTGTTAACTCCAGAATGACGATATAATATAAATTTGTTCTTTGTTAATTAGTTTGATATATAAAATTTGACTAAATATAATGGGATAAAAAATCTGAATTTAACAATAGTATTTAAATAAATTATTTTTCTTTTCTTACAATAAATTTATATAATATTACATTAATTTTAAATTAATTTTGTTATGTTCTAGAAAATAAAATCATTTTATATAAAACAATATACTTAAATACAAAGTGTTTAAAAGATGCTAACCTAAAAATATTTCCAACTTTCAAATAATGTTTGATAAATGAATAGCTAAAATTTAAAATTAAGAATGAAGTGGATGAATTATTTCTTATTTTAAAAAATAAATATTATTCTTATATTTCCAATAAAGACTTATTTTCTTTTAAACTATCCTCATTTGTTGAATTTTCTTTTATAGAAAAATAAATAAACCAAAATTTTCAATTTAAAAGTACTTAAATTTATTTATATTAGAAAGATTTTTGTATTTAAGAATTCTTAATTATTTTGGAATAATTTAAAAATATTGAAATATTAAATTTTATATGATATATAAAAAGCTGTCTTTGTTAATGAAGAATTTTCAAGATATAATTAAATCTTTGATATAATTTTATTTGTAGTTCTTTAAAAAATAGAACCGGAAATAAGTAGAGTATGTGTATTTCTTACACAGATTGAAGTTACATATTTTTTTTTACCGAATGAACATGAACTACCAATTAAGGATTAAAAAATCATTGAATAGAAGTTTCCACGAAAGAAAATTATTTAAATAATAATAATTAAAAAATTCTGGTTAACCATAATGGCAAATTAATCTTATAAAAATAGGAGAAGATAATTATAGTTTTTGAACACAGTTCAGAAATTAGAGAGAGAAGAGTAGAGTGTTATTAAAGGATAATTTTAATACTTTTAAAGGATTAAAGTATTGTATAGGATCTGAATTTTTTGAAAAATCATTTTCTGTTGACATTTCTATTGTATTAAACTAATGTAAGAGTATGTTTTCTGTTTTTTTCATTAATTATAATATCTCAATAATTAAAAATACATGAATTAATAGATATCATAGGAAAATTTCCTTTAGAAATTTGCATCTTTGGTTTTGAGCGAGAGTAAGACTTAAATTAAATGGTAGCTGATGATGATACTTCAAGAAGTGAAAGTCCAGTCTTGGATTCTCGATTGATTGAGATTGTGAGTGGATTGCCAGCCCATATAAAAATAAAATTAGAAAATTTCAAACCCAGCTAAAACTTCTAACTTTCCAAATAAAATGATGAAAGTATTTACTTTGGAATGATGGAGTAAAGCTTTAAACATGGAGTAGGAATTCAACTATGGCCTAAAATTGGAAACTTATTAAAAGGGTATAAATAAATATTTAAGTTTTCTTAGGACTTGGTAAAATGACTTACTGGAAGGCGTGTGCACTATGTTTTATTCTAATGGAGATATGTAATTATTATTAAAATATCATAGTTTTGAAGCTTAATTCTCATAAGGCAGAACGATTGGTTTTGGTATGTTTAAATCGGAAAAAAAAGTTGTAAAAGGTATAAATATTTGTAATTTATTTTAGGAATCTGGGTCAATAACTAGCTCTAGGGAGAGGGTTAGGAGATTAAAAGTGATGGAACTACTTATTACGGTTAATTTTGGGAAGGTCGTAAGTAAGGAAGAGGTATATAAATGTTTCCTGATGGATGCAAGTATAAAATCTTTTAAAAAAAATTTTAGATATGAAGGGTTCTTTAAAAATAATAAATTTGAAGGAGCTGGATTATTTATATGGAGTGACGGTAGTCACTACTAGGGTTAATTTCATAAAGGATTAATTAGGGGATTTGGTAATTACAATAATAATAATGGACTCTAATTAATTGGAGAGGTATATTATTTTAATTGAGTTTGTTAGTTTTAAGAAATGAATAAAATAGAATCGCCTGAATAGAATATTAATAAAAATCTGCAAACAATAACATTTTTGAATTAATACAACTAAACACTGTTAATTGAAAAGATACGTATTCTCTGACTTGATTATTTATATATTTATCAATTTAATTTACAGATTTAATATAGTAAAAATGAATATATAATAATCAAATTAATTATAAAAAATAAAATTCGTTTTTGGAATTTTTAAGACTTAATTATCTGGTGTTGGCTTCATTATTAATAACAATAAATGTATAAATTAGCAGTCTGCACATTGCTTATCCTGAGCGTAACAGCAATAGATGTCACCAACTCAGTTTGGACAAGCCACGACCAAAAAGCTTTTGCCTAAATCAAATAATCTGGTTGGGGAAATTTCATTTTGAACTTTGGTGAACTCCATTTATCAACAGGAGGTATCCTTGCAGAATTAAACACTGAAATTGCCAAACTTGTAATGCCTATTTCATAAATTCATATAGATTGACGAATTAGATGAAGAATTGGCAGAAGTCCATCACTAATTTGCAAGAAGAACAGATGTTCACAATAGAGAGGTCAATAGACTCTCATAAGAAATCTAAGATAAAGAAAGAGGTAAGTTTATGAATCTATATGAAATTTAGAGGTCTTCAATGCTCATGATTTCTATGATAATGTCTTAATCCCATAAAGAGACAGATTTGCTGCTCAACTTGAATAATTACAAGAAAACATTGCTTAAAACAGAAAGACTCTTAATGAAGCTACAGTCTAAAGAGCTAATGATCATGCTGAATTTGAATCTTTAGTTGCTGAACATAACGAAGCTATCAGTGCTATTGATGAATCATTATAATTACTTAGTCAATTAGAATAACCATCCCTTGTTTAAATCTAAAAGGTCTAAAAGAATTTGACTAAAATCCAATAATCCCTTAAGAGACATAGCACATTCTAAACCTTCATTAAGACTCTCATTGAAATTGCAGTTGAAGCAAACTTTGCTGATCAAGGTGCTCTTAAAGAAGTAATAAATCACATATATTTTAGATCCTTACTGCTTTCAATAATTTGAGAGTGTAATTAGTTGATTCCCTTAACTAACTCACTGCTGATGAAGCTGAAGCATAAAAAGACTTCGAAGCAAGAGTTATCTAATTAAACTAAGAACATGCTGAATTCCAAAGAGCTGTTATTGTTAAGACTGCTGAAATCGAAGCTAATGCTAGTATTCTATTCAAACTATTCATTTCTAGATAAGATCGATTATACCCTTGATTTAATTGATGAATTACATGCTGATTTAGATACTTTGAATGGATAATTATAAGCTGAAAATGATGATTATGCTTTCTGTACTGATGTCTATAATGCCACCGTTGCAGAATATAACAAAGAATTGAATGCAGCCCATCAAGCTTTGGATTTATTAAATCAACCAAGATTCACCGATTATGTTAAATCATAACTCAAGGGAGCATTTTGATATTATTCATTCAATAATAGTAAATGAATTCATTTTATAAATCATTCTTCTCTTATTTTCAATTCAATTCAATTAATCAAATTTATTTTAGTTTACTTACTTTTTTAAAATACAGATATAACTTATTACAAGAAAATTTAATTGCCCTTTTTAAAATCACCTGCAACAAATATTTTATCCTATCTTTCAATAATCTATATTGATTATTGGATCTGTTGTATTTTAAACTAATTAAGGAGAATTCTAAAAATTAAAAAGAAAATCTTTAAAAACAAAAAATAACTCGTTTAAATGAGAAACCAATCATTCAATAAATCTACTTTTTTAATCTAATAGTAATATCATGATTCGATAAATTTTCAATAAATAAAAATTTAGGTAAATTATAAGAAAAACATTATATTAAAATGAAAGATGAATAAATCATAGAATAAAATTAAGATTGAAGTTTAAAAAGCTTTGAAACTTAAGAAATGACAAGATAAAGAATAATATGTAAAATACTTTTTATTAATAGTAGAATAACGAATAAATTATTGATTTTGTTTTTAATGTAATATAGTGAATTTCCTCTATATAAAGATGGCATAATATATAATGATTGGCTCATGTATCAAATAAATGAGAATAATGAAGGTTAAATAAAAAGAGTACAACAATATAATAAATTATATGATCATAATAAAATGTAGCTCTTTTTCTTAGTTAAAATATTAATTCTTGTAATTTGAAGATCTTCTTCAATTTACTTTTTGTCTCCCGTTTCTGGATCAATTTTAATTCTTATTTCTTCACAATAATAGGCTGCTGGAGTCAATTTTATGACTACATGAATAGGAATATCTAATTGAGGGACTTCTGATATTTCATTTCTATGGAAATAAGCATATAGACATCTTAAAATAGCTTAATGTCCAATAACTAATACAGGTTCTCTAGATCTCTCAATTTCATAAATAATGGGTTCAATCCTGCTTATCAAATCTAAATAGGATTCTCCTCTTGGATATCTATAAGTTAGTTTATTAACTTTTCTTTCCTATTTGGATACAATAAAAAGATACAGCAAAATCTTCAGGAAATTAAATTGCAATTTAAGCATAAGTTAAACTATCACAAATTCCCACATTAATTTCATCCAAAGTTTTTAATTACAAATAATTAATTTTAAGAATGTTACAAACAATATCAGCTGTTTGTGTAGCTCTCTTCATAGTTGAAGTTAAGCAATGAATTTAATTCCTCTATTCTTAAGAAGGAAATTCTTCAAGTAAAAAATTACCTAATTTTTGTGAATATTTTATTCCTTATTAAGCTAAATCACAATCACCACCAACTCTGTTTTCTTAATTAAATGTACTACCTCCATGTCTAGTTAAGTAAATAGGTCTTGGATATATATGGAGATTCATCAAATATGATATAATCTTTGATAGTAAATATCCTTTCACTTTATGTATTTAAATCTTTAAATTATTATCAATATGATACATCTTCACCAATATTTATTAATTTAATAAATGATAAATTTTCATCAAGTTCTATCTTTTGATATACTTCTTCATACATTTTAATTCTTCCTAAGAAATCCTTAGTTGCATCTTCAGGATTCATTGAAACATAATCTGGATTATTAAGTTTTGTTAATCTAATATTATTTTGAATGACTTCTACGTCATCACAAATTGATTCTATCCAAAGAGTTTAAACATTTTAACATTATTACAATAATGACGAGTAAACCATATTTCTTCTCTCCTTAGTTGTATTAGTCCCATCAAAAATAGCAATTTCACCATCACTATTTAAATAGCCAATCAAATCATTTAAAGCCAACTAGGCACATTCATTTCTTGCTTTAGTTGCCTAATTATATTTTTATATACTTATTCATTTTTAGAATCAAAGAAACTCTTATCACATTCTGTTCCACATATCTCTCTTCGATAATTTCCAATATTAAAAACTTTACAATTATAACCTAACCAATTCAAATATCTATGAAGTTTCCTAGAAATATATGTCTTTCCTCTAGCTGGTAATCCTACCATACATATTGCTATTTTTTAAGACTTATGACAATCTTGCATAATATATTTAAAATTCAATTTATAATATTCTTTAAGAGGTAAATCAATAATTCGTCATTATTAACTAAATTATTTATTTTTTATATATAATGTATTTAAATCATCTATTTATTTTCAGCAAAATAATACAGTCTCTATAAATTTAGATCTCTTCAATTTCATCTCTTTAACATTAGTTTGGTTAATATTAATAAAGAATATTTGCAAACTTAAATTAGTTACGAACTTAGTAATTATTTTAATAATAGTTAAATTTTATCATCGTTTAAGATTTTTTATATCATGAAATGGCTACTCTATTCCTCTTATTCGAGCTGTTAAGTTTAAGTCTTTTGCCATTAATGTTACTCTTTTTGCATGAAATGTACATTATACTGAATCTTCGAATAAATCAACCATATATTATTCAGTTAATGTTTATAAACATTCTAAGGATTTACTTGAATATCTAAAATCCTTATATCCAAGTTAATCAGATACTTTAAGTCCTATTTACCTAACAAATCTTTAAAATCCTGCTCGGCGGCAAACTAATACACTTGATGTTTATAGTTATCTAATCTCTTGTAATACTTTTGACATTGGTTTATTCCTCTTTTATAACTTATCCCTTGCTTTTTATACTTAAATTGCTGATATTCTTTCTTCTTTTTTTTTTTCAGACTTCTGGCTTATTTCATTAGATTTTTCTGCAATTATACTCTTTTCCTCAGAATCAAACAAAGAATGCATAAAACTAGGCATTTTTTCATTATTGTCAACTTAAAAAGATTAGTTTTCATTATTATCTTTAGTCTTTTTTCTATTTGCCATTAAAGTTTAACAACTATTTAAAAAATAATATTAAATTTTATAACAAAATATTAATATCTACTTATAATGATAATCAGAGCTTTAGGCATTGGATTATATAAAAATATAAGCTTTTCTAAACAAAAATTTTAGAAGCACCAAAAAAAATTTATAATAAGTATTTAATTTCACTAAAATAATTAAGAAAATGCAATAAGTATAGATTTAATTGCAAAATGCTATCAATTATGTAAATGAGAATAATTTATATTTTATCGATATATTTATAGCTATAGCTATCTTTATATTACAACTATATATTTTTCATCCTATTTATACTCCTCTCCCTTGAAAGGCTTAAAATTATCCTCCTCTTTATGCTTATTATTAAGGTTAAGCTTATGCTGGCTAATTGTAGTATGCTTATTATTAATTATACTATTATTCATTATTGTTTTATGCCCAATCATTCTATTGATTTGTTTATATTAATCCTCCCATTTGATCATATTATAATACCTTGAATTCTCTGTAAGCTAAAAATGCTACATAACATGCTCCAAGATAATAAAAAAAGAAAATAAAATATGTCACTCCAAATCTTGTAGGACTAAAAAACTCGATATCTAATTCAACATTCATTCCAAAAAATATAAATATCATCAATAACTATCTATATTAAATTTCAATACATTTTATAAAAAGTAAAACACAGCAATCACACAATTACAATAATTCAATTAAGCCCATGCCATATATAGTATGAATAAAGTAAAAAAATCATAGAATCCTGAAAATTATTGCAAAACAAACAATTTTATCAACCCAACTACAAATTAACTTACACCTAACAATTATAACATCTAAACTGCTCTTTTTGTCCCTTAAGTAGGTGGTGGAATCGATTAAAAAGGTATGCACATTATTATATATTATTAAAATTAATTAAAATTTCATTTTCAAACGTATACATCTTTATCTGAATTTCATATTTCAAAAACTCTTCTAAAAATAACAACTATTATCTAATTATTACAAATTATTAATATTTCCCAACATATTTTTTTTATATTACATATATTTTTTCTAACCAAACCTTAATTTATCAACTAGAATTTATTGTAGCTTTCCTTTTAATAAAGCTTTGCCATTATTAATTATTCTTAAAATATTCTATGTTTAAATTATTTCGAATATTTATTGTATTAAGAATATTTAATTTTAACTTTTAGATAAAAGATTATTTGTTGCTTGAAATATATTGAGACATCTATCTTTTATTTTTTGAGAGAATTTTGTTTAACTATTATAAAGGTAATATTTATTTATTATGTATTTATTATAACTACATACTAACAATCTTGTTAAATATAGAAGTCCTTTTGATAATAAAAATTCTCTTTTTAATTTTAAATAAAATTAGATCTATCTAGGATAATATTAAATAATTATAGTATTTATTAAAAAATACTTAAAATAAATTAATATGATTATGATATAAAATGATTTAAAATGTATAAATATTCCATATGATAAGAATAATAAAGAATTAAAAATAATAATAATAATTCACACATTATTAGAATTAATTATGCTTGTATTAAATTATTATTATGAAAAAAAGTGATTTTAATTAATACGAAGACTCATACAATTACATCGATTTTTCCTTCTTTAATTTCGACTTGTAGCTAAAGGTACTATTATATATACTATTTTGTCATTGGACCGATGATAGGTTTATTATTTTTTGAATGTAATCCTAAAATATTATACAAATAATAAAACCTTTGCCTACTATTATTTACAATTTTATCTACTATTATTTATTACAAAGTTTATATGATTCAATTTTATCAAATACACCATCCAATATATTTTCGATTTCACAAGCAAAAAATCCATGAAAATCAATTCTGCAAAACCCATTTTCAATTTCCATTAAATCAAGAAATAAATTCTTACCAATTTTTTCAAGCTTTTACTTTTCAACTTTTATTTATTTTAATTACTGATTACACTACTGTTCATTTATATAACAAGCTTTAATTTATCATAATATTACTTTAATATTACTAAACTACTTTTGCTTTTTAATTATTAATAGCAATAACTTCGTTTCTATTTTATTCAAAATCAGCTTTCTTTTTTTCTTTAGTTTATTTATCACACTAAAATATGTTATTATAAAATACCTTTTTGATATCGAACTTATAGTTTTTTTGCTCTATAATTTTAATGGCTGTTTGATACAGTGATTGTTCTTCAATTATAATAATTTTATTAGTTTTTTTAAATTCATTTATTTTGTATTATGATTAGTTTAATTCATTATTGTTTCCACTCTCGATGGCTTTTTGTTCACTTACCATTAATTAATTTATTTCTCTTAAAATTGGTTTTTCTACTTTGGATTTCACAGTTTGTAAAAATTCAAAACAATTTTCAAAATTAACTATTAATTATAATGCTAATGCAATTTCAGAGTATTTTCGATTAGGAAATTATTAACACAATTTTTAAATTTAATTTTCATAATCTTCAATTTCAATAATTCGAATAGATTTTGATTTCTTGCCATAAATTGTTTAAGTTAAACTAAATTTCGATTATTGTATTCTTTCTTAGAAATTTGTAAGATCCATTTTAAATTCATCACTCACAGCATCATCAAGTTCATCTAATTGTCCATTAAAAAATGAATTGTTTGTAATTTAATCAGTCTCTTAATTTTATTGAATTACTTATTATTCACCTTCTTGTTATTATTAAGTGTCAAATTATTTCTTTTTTTTATTTTTTCTATTTCCTCTTCTTTATTTTTTCTTAATTTGTCCTTCATCTTAATCAATTAAATCATTAGATTCTTGAGGTTATGAATGATTTAATTCATCGGGTTCTTCAAAATGAGAATTTTCAAATTTACATAAAATCTACCATCCTTCATCAATCATCTACAAAATAATAATCATTTACTCCATCTTATTATAAATTATATCCTTTTATTGGTAATAAATATGGACATATTTCATTTTTATAAAATCTTTAGTCTAAATTCATGTCTATTTAATCTATTTAAGGTGGTTATTATTAAGCTACGACACATTCTTTGTATTCAAAATCACGATTATAAAAATTAATACTTTAAAAATCTGGAGAAATTTTATTAGATTATTGACAATTATTTTGAGAAATATTATCTGAAAAATTATTAGGGTAGAAATTTTAATTATAAATAGTTTCTAAAGGTATTTAACCAAAATTTTAATTGCTCACAACTTCAGATACCATATATTTATTAAATTAAATAGAACCATCTTAATATTATTATAAATTGGAGTTGTTTTTTTATTCATCTCTTTGATACCTTTATTATTCTTAGGTAATATGGCTATTAAAGAAATTATTAAAATTATTTTGATTTTCTGGTGAATCTACGATTGTGATTTTTTTCGATTTCTATTTTGAATAGCCGAGAAATATATTTCCAAAATCTGTAATATCATCTTGGTTTTCATTATTCATAGGTTGCGTTTGATGTAATAAATAATTCTGCATGTTTATTTTAATAATTTAAATAAATATTTTTTTGTAAAATGAAATATGTATTTAAAATATTTTATATAATAATTATGTTCAAAGAAAATAAATAAGGAATGAAGAACTTAAGGCAATTTATATGCTATTAATATTTATGCATAATTGAATTCTCTTGAATAAAGATACAAATTAGATTTCAAATTTTATATTTTATTTTTTAACAAAAAACAAATTCATGATAGTTAAGAAGAGCATTTCACCAAAGAGAAAAAGCTTGACTCCTTCAATGTGTGAAGGAAGATAATATTAATAAATCTTGAGAAATAGTAATCTTAAGACAGAGAGTTTGGATAATAGATATGTATATTCAAGAAAAGATGATTCAAAAAAAAAATAGTAGAACAATATGAATTCAAAGAATAATAAGTACATTTAAAATCATAAAATCTCCTTAAATGGTTCTTATAATTTAAAAAATCTAAAAACAATATAAATATCAACTAGAAAATTATCACTATAAAAGTAAGAAAAATAAACTAATAAATTAGTAAGACGATGATAAGTAGTACAACAAGTGATAATCATTAAATTTAAAAATATTTTCCACATACAATAACAATTGCTCTATAAAATTGTGAGAGGTTGATAAAAGAATAAAAATTATAAGAAGCTATGAGAGAATTAGATGAAATAGATAATTCTAATATAAATTAAGAATACTAATCATAAATAGCATATCTAAAAGGGATGATAAATATGCAGTATTAATTATATGATAAGGCAATAATAAATTTTTAAAGATGTATACAGTAAGGAGATTTTAATGGAAATTCAGTAGTCTTATTATCAATAGCTTTAGGAAAGATTGGAAATTATAATGAGGGGATTATAATTTTAAAAGATTTTCTATCAAAAAATTATACAAGATAATCACCAGTCTATTATGATGCAATAATATAAAAGGGTAAGCTATTAATGAAATTAAAAAAATTTAAATTAGCCATGAATGATTTTATGTTAGCATCAGCTTTAGAAAAAGATATGAATTTATATAAAGGCAATTTAGGGAAGGGGGATTGTTTAAGATTATGCGGAAAGTATTTTGAAGCATTAATGATTTATGAAGGATTACCAGAAAGCCAATAGGTATTGATTAGAAAAGTGTATTGTTTGTTAGAATTAAAATAGTTTGATAAGGGAATAGAGACAATTAATAAGATTTTAATAAAAGATTCTAGTAGTTCTTAAGCTTTATTATTAAAGGGATAAATATAAAAAAAACAAGGATAAATAAATGAAGCAATTTTAAGTTTTGAATAATCATTGACATAAAATAATAGTAGGAAAGCTGTAACTTAATCATTGTTAGAAATAGCTAAAATTAAGATTGAATAGAAAGACTTCTATTCTGCTTATTATACATTATAAAGAGATGATCATTTAGAAGTGAATAAAACAGTATTGATTGATCTAAAATAATTTACAGAAGGTGTAATATTTTTAATGAAAAGGAAATACAAGGAAGCTATTATTATTTTAACTGAACTAATAAAAACAGTATAATTAGGATAGTTTGTAAACAAAATTATATTTTTATACAGAGCCTATGGTATTGAAATTGAAATAAAAACTAGGTTTCATTTGTGTAAATAAATATTAGAAGGCTTTATAAGATTTTAATTACACTGAAAATGTATATCCATTAGATTCGCCATCTCTTTATAATAAATTAATTTGTGAAGGTATTGTGATGTCACAATAAAATTAATTTAAATAAGCTTAATCATTCTTTAAAAAGGCATCTTAATTATATCCTGGTAAAATGGAACCTCATCTTTATAAAGCTCTTACTTTAATCTAATTTGTAAATATACATTAACCAAATGAAAAAGATAAATATATTAAAATAGCCTTAAAACATCTTGATAAAGCTGTGACATTAAATGATAGCAATTCAAACCTTTTGTATCATAGAGGTATAATAAGATTCTATTTTGGTTAATTGGAATTAGCTCTATAAGATTTAACTACAGCTATTGAAAACACTGATGTAAGAAATTCTAAAATCTTATATGCAAGAGGATTAGTTAGAGCATGTCTAAATAATCCTTAATAAGCATTAAAAGATTTTACTATTTCAATAGATTGGGATCCTAAGTTTTCATCTCTCTATTTAAATCGAGCAAAAGTGTTTACATAATTACGTGATAGAAATTAAGCTTTTAATGATTTATAAACATATATCTCATTAAAACCAAAAGATCCTTAAATTTATTTATGGGCAGGAAACTTATTATTCTTTATGGGTGCTCATTAAAGTGCTATTAAGACTTATTCACATTCTTCTGATATATAAAATAATCTCTAATTATTAAATTCTAGAGCATTATGTTTTATTATTTAAAAAGAATATAATTAAGCACTTATTGATTTGAGTAGAATCTATCAACTTACTGCAGATGAAAGATGGTATATTGATAAAGAATGTTTAGGTGCATTACATATGGCAATAACAAAAATAACATATGAATCTGAAGAGATATCTATTAATAATTGCATATAAAACACATAAAAATAAACTAATTTTAGATTAGCTTCTCAAATCTTAAAATCAATAATCAAATTAGATAATGAAGGATATTTGTTTATGAAATCTGATTTAATATTTTATAGAGGAGTCATGAAGTTTTATTAAGGTAATTATACTAAAGCAATTGATAATTGGAATAAATCTTTTCAATAAAAGTAACAAAAAAGATTATTTACTAATTTATCTAATTAATCATCCTCATCTGAATAATTTGAAAGAACATTTACAGAATTAGAGGATTTAGAATTCTAAGATCTCACTTACAATTTTTATGAATATTATTATAATATTGCTGTTGCTACTATTCTAGTAATATATTTTATTTTTAATAGAATAATAATTATTCTGAAGGAAATCATATACTTGAGGATTTTGCCAATTAATTACCTTAATCATTCAGTTCTAAATTCCATTATTTTATAGATGCTATAAAAGCTTAAAAAATGTAGAGTGTTTTTATATTTCCTCACAACAATAGATTATCTCAATCCTTTCCTTAATTCAAAGTTGGCAATGCAGAAACAAGATTGTCATTTGGTTTCCCTAAATTACCTTCACCTTGTATGAATCCTGAATTTGATTAAGAATTATTATAATCCATCTAAGTAACTTTATTATTTGATTTATATGAGTTTAGTCTACTGATGTTGAAAATAAACCAGAAGCTCCTTGGATTAAGAAGAATCTTGATGGAGTTATTTTTACTGAAAATATTCAGCATTTTGAATTAGATTTTATAAGTGAAACTTAAATATCTTTATTTCATTAAAGTTAAGAAGATTTAGAAGAAGAAATAGATAACAATTCTCTTGGTTTAAAAAAATCTACTCCCTATATAAGTAATTGAATTTAAATTTGTATTTTATTTTTTATAAAAAAATCTATCATTGTTAATCTTCTAGTACCTAGTTGAATTCAATAAATAAAAATTATATAGAAATAAAATAATTGATTAAAAAGTCTTAATAAAAATCAAGATATTCTCTTAATAATTATTACTACAGTTATATAGCTCTACTAAAAATTACAATAATTATTTCTAAATTTAAGTCTAAGATTAAATAAGATTTAATCTTAAAAACTACTTAATTAATGATTAAAACAATAAGCAACATGGACATCTATTGCAATATCAACAATAACAAAGAGAAGTTTTATTGAAGCATACTCGAGTTTTCTTTTATATATAAAATTCAAGATTGTATTAATAGTAAGTATGAGTGAATGTATTACTTTCATCTAAATTAGGAAGTAATAGAATTACATGGGAATTATATATATTGATCAGAAATTGAAAAATAAATATATATGAAAAATGTTGGTAACAAGTATAATCTTAGAATAAAATTTTAAAAACTCTAAAGAGTAGTATTTTCTTATTAAATTTGGGAATGTTTGATACATTTTTATTGTTAATAAATCAACAAATTTGGAAGTAAAATAATTTAATTTAATTTTAAAAAGAACAATAAAATTATTAAAAATATAAATATTATACAATTTTATTTAATCATATTTGTTCAATATTCATTAGGAATAAAATTCTGGGGTTCAATAAAATCTAGATTAATTTAGTGTTTTTGATAATTGATTCTAACGAAATCTTCATATTCTTGTTAATTATTAAGTTATGATTGAATTTATTAACTATGTTATAATTCATGATCTTGATCTTCTTCTTTTTTAATATTTGGATGTAAATCATAATATGGATTCCATTATTCATAAGGTAGATGATGAATTAAATGCTTATCATACATGATCATTAATTATTCTTAATCAATATGATGTTATTGAATATTGAGTTATTCTATGATAATAATAGAAATATCTAACCTGCTTTAGGAATATCAGAAGATGGATTCTTCTTTTTTCTACCAGCTCTGCTTCTTTCAGTACGAGGTAATCTTTTTCCATTTTCTCCTCTTAAAGCATAAGGATTAAATTTTTAATGATGGCTTCTACATTGACTAGGAGTTCTTGTTCCAATGAGTTCACTCATTTATTTGAAAATTTTAGAGGTTTTTTTCATCATAGAAGAAGTCATTATACTTTCATATTGTTAAAGAAATCCTATATAAGTAGTATGTTCTTCAGTTGACCAATGTCCAGTGTTAATGTGTTCCTTTTTTGGTTTCTTAGTTTATTGATGTTAGACTTTTTATTTTTATGTTTGTTATGATCCTTCTTATGATCCTTAAGCTTCTTAATTTGAAATGATATCTGATTATAATTTTGGAATAGGAGCTCCTTAAATGCAATGAAAAATGGAATAAGGAGTGATTTATTTTTGGCTATGAATAATAGAGAGATATACATTTGATCTTTTTATATTTGAGAATGAGAAGGCTCTTCTATGATTTACTTTGTAAACTCTAAAGTTTTTGGAAGTAATCCTTGTGAATCACTATTTCTTGAAATAGTATTTGAATGTTTACTTAATCTTCTTGTTTTTTTTGAATTTTTATTAAACTTCATTGTCTGGAAAACAATCTACAGAGTATCCAGAGAAGTGAGGAGGATAAGAGAACTAGGACATATAAGTAAATTCATTATAATTCTGATATGGCATGTATTCTTGTAGAAATTTCTAAATTCTTTACTTTGAATATCAGAGTCTAGTTGAAATGCAAACTATTGGTCACCTTGCAAGAAATATGGTTACATAATAAAACAATTAAATTTTTTATTTTCTTAATTTGTTTATATAATAAACCTTTAAATTTCTTAAGGGATTTACAAAATATTATTCAAACATCTTAGTATAATTTAAAATGTAATTGTTAGGTGTATGAAATAGAAATGAGTTTTGAATTGAATTAAAATATCAATAGAATAATAAAAGTTTTTAATTTTATTCTCTTCTTCAATTTTATGTAATTTTAATAATATTGCTTAATAATTGAAGGAATAAATTAGAAAGATAATTTTGAATAGTAAGATTGAAGAAATTAATAGATAAATATTGCGTATTTATATTTATCATAAATTTCATAAAATTTAAGTAATATTTATATCAATCATTTAAAAATGTCAGCAAAAGAATATGAAGCAGAAGACGATTTGCTAGGATCTATTCTAAGAAGTAATATTTTTAGTTAAGTTAGATGATGATTACGAAGAAGTTTTTTCCAATAATAACAGTCCTTTATGTAATTAAGGATTTGAGAGTGATAGCATTATAGAGAATGTAAAATTGTTATTGAAATAAATTAGGTTTCATTATCTGAAAAACATTATTTCGATAGTTTTAATAGATCCTTCGAACATATGTCCTTAGGATCTGATTAAGCCTAAAGTCCAATGTCTACAAAAGCAATATATCCTTAGTATCCACATAATAATGTGAAATTATTAAGATAAGAAGACAGATAGAGTGTATCGATCAGTTTTGATGGACATTCATTTTCTACTTAAGAAAGTTCAATAAATTATAGAAAAAATGGAAATGAACATCTTGGATATTAAAATAAATATCATAATAAATTTGTTGATTATTAAGTACCATATTCTCCAGGAGTGATTAGACCATATGGAATTTATTAAACTGTATATAATTATTAATAACCATAGAATGGATTAAGTTTTAATGGATATTAATAAGAGAGATTACCTCTACATGATATAAATGATGATATGTAATTGACAAATGATCTTGTAACATTATTTTTATATATTTTTATATAGGATAATATGTGTGGAAATCAATTATTGTCTAGAAAAGTATAAAAAATATTTGAACATGGAAAACCTGATCAAAAGGAATTAATTTTTAATAAAGTTGAAAGATCATGTGTTTAATTTTCAAAAGATGTTTTTGGAAATTATGTTATGTAAAAAATATTCGAAAAAGGTATTTACATTATATTATAACATATTTCAGGAAATCCAATTCAATAATTAAGATTATTCAATAAAATTAGACCACATGCTTATGAGTTATCTAAAAATAATTTTGGATGTAGAGTTATCTAAAAGGTTATTGAAATTATTTCAAATAATGACAATTTACAAAACTAATTTATTGATTCAATTAAACATTAAATTAAATCATTACTATATGATTCAAGTGGCAATTATGTGATTCTCAAATGTTTAGAAGTTTTGTAGAAAGACAAAATCGAATTCTTTTTATAACCAATAGAAGATTCTACATTATTTTTATGTTCATCTCAATATGGATGTAAAATATTATTAAAAACTCTTGAATTGTTTTCTTCAATTCAAACTGATAAGATAATGAAAACATGTTTATCACATTAATAAAATCTTTGTTAACAAGAATTTGGTAATCATATCTTGTAATTTGCAATAAAAAATTCCCTTTATCAACCTTTCGTTGTTAATTTTGTACTCTCTAATTTTGAAAAATTATGTTTAAACAAATATGCTAGTAATACAGTAGAAAAGGTTGTTGAGGCATCTACTAATGAAGTAAAATAGTAAATTATCTCTATTCTTATTTCTAAGTCATAAATAAATGGATTGTATTATTTTTATATATATTTATTAGTAATACATTTGTAAACCTATCCGTCAATCCATTTGGAAATTATGTTATGAAGAAAATGATCATTATGTCAAATCATAATATTTTGTAACCTTTGATAGACATTTTGAGATAAGATTAATATCTGATTACAGCAATAAGATCCTCTGATTTTGGCTAAAGAATCTTTTAGCTAATCGAAAAGACCTTATTAATGTGCAAATCATGAATATAATGAGATTATGATGACAATATAAATATGAATAAAATATTAGACATTATTTATTAATATTATTTATTAACGTATGCAATTTACTCCCGACACTAGAAATGTGGGAGGTCGATCAATTATTGTATCATAATTATGGGGACATCGATTATGTTTACAATCAATTAAAGATAGACAATTCAATTTAGATCTTAGAAATTAATTTGAAAAAAAGAATACAAATTTAAAAACACCTAACATTTGTGATTTTAATATGGAAATACATAAAAAGAATCTATAATCTATTAAACAATGTTTAACTGATAGAAATAAAAAAGAACCATCTTATTTCTTTAGAAGGTTACCATCTCCAACTAATATTAATTTATCTTAAAATAAATTCAATACTATGAAATCAAAATCAACTTAAGAAAAAATGCTTTATAATAAGCTTTTACCACCACCAAATATAGAATTAAATAAATTTATACCTGAAAGTACAAAAACTAAAGTTGATTGGAATACTTTTATTCAAAATTTGCATGGACCATAATATCCAATCAAAAAATGGGTTAGTTAATTAGCAATCCATTATTAGATCTTTGATGAAAATGATTTCGCTATTTTAATAAGAATTTTAGTCTAAGCATATCAAATAAAATAAACTACTTTAATTAACATAGTCTCTGAACTTATTGAAGAATTTGAAAAGTGATTAAAGTATTTTGAAATTTAAATATTACTTTATATCTTATAAACTATTACTATCAATTCTATGAATTATTATTAATCATTTCCTTTTTTAAGATATTTATTTTAGGTCTAATATTTGATCAAATTTAACAGGTATTTTATCTTCATAATCAAATAATCTCAACTCTTATTTGAATATAATTAAATTTTATAGACAAATTTTGCTCTGTATGTCTTCTAAAATATATCAATTGTCCTCATATTTAGAATCTAATACATTTCAAAAGGAACTTTAGATTTAATCAGTTCTTCTATCTTATGAAATAAAGAATTATTAATCTAATATTTGACCATATAAAATTTATATAATTAGAAATTAATAAAAATGTGCTTATTTCTATCTTTTAATAAACATTTAACATTTAAATTCTATCAATCGATTGATTTGAAGCTCCTTTTATACATTATTGATTCACAGATAATTAAATCAATATAATTAATATTACCAGTAATCTAATCCAAAGTAAACTTTCTTCCATAAAAAGATAATTATAATATATATTAAACTTAAATTTATAGATATTCTTAAGCATCAGATATCATATCAAGTTAATTCTATTGAACTAGACAAGATAAAAAATAAGATCACAATAAATCTTACTTATTAATATTTTTAAGCACAATCCTTATTGGTGGACATAAAATAAAAATAAAGTAAATCACTCTTTCTTTTTATTTTTAAGTTCTTTTTTATATTTTTAAGATAGATGATAATAATCTGCATATGACATAAGGAGATAAAAATTCATCTAATTTTATCTCTTTAAAAATAAGTTTATTTCAATCTAAATTTTTTCTAAGTTAATTTATTATTGTATATTATCAATCATAGTTAACTTTTGATGGAATATTTATTATGAGTTCTTAGTTTTTGTGAACCTTTTTTTGTTTTATAAATTTTTAGAATATTAATGATTTTATTTATAATATATAGAGAGTATTTATAGAAAAAATATAATCGAATTGGTAATTTAAATCTACTATCAATAACTTTTTATATATATTACTTTTAACCTTCATTATTAAAATTCTAATTCAAAATAATGAATTAAGTTAATTGTAAAAAACAAATAATATGGTACAATATTCTAATATTCTTTTAAACTTAAAAATTTAAATTTTAAGTATAGAATTAGGTATATTTCCTTTAGTCATTTTCTTAAATTATTCAGAGTTTTTAAGTTCCAGTTTAATAAATTATTTTTTCACTAAAAAAACAAAATTTATAGTCATCTTTTAAATGGATTCTTCAATTAGTAATATTATGGTTGATAGTGAGGATAATGATACTTTGTGTATAAAATATGCGGAACTACTTAATTAAACCCCTAAAACCAAAGACTATATTAGATTGAAAAATCAATCATAGAAAGTTCATAAATAGTTAAGTTATGTTGGTTCTTAGTCTAAAACTAAGGAATGGACTTAGACTTTATTACATATAAGCACTATGATTAGTAAAGAAGCATATGTCAGATCACTGAATTCTATGGAAGCATTTTATGAAAAATAAGAAAAAGACTCTACCTTTAATTAAACCAAGAGTCTTTCACCAGTTAAACATTAATCTGAAGAAATAACAGACTATACTTTCAATTTGTAGAATGGTTTAAAGAAAGTGAGATTTAGATTAAATTCAGATTATTAAGTATGACTTCTTTATTGTGTGAATATTTTTTGTGTATATTTTCTTTATGTTTATAATATCCTATTCTACATGACACTAATAGTGTTTACTATTAAAAAAATTACATATTATATATAGTATATGATTAAACTTTCAAGTTTTATTATTATTTAAATTGATAAGAAATAGTATTAAGATTTAATTTAATTAATAAAATTGCATTTAATAAACAGCCATCTATCAAAAGCGACTTAGAGAAATAAATAATGATATCCCTTTTTATTAAAATTATCCTATTTAATTAGTATTTTGTTGAAGTGTTACAATGTTATTTTAATTAATGATCAGAAATTTTGATTTTTTAGTTTAAAGAATTCAATGATTTTGAATGGCACTTTTTTTTTATAACGATAATTTAATATTTAAATTTTAGTGTATTAAAAAGCATTTTATTATTAAGAATAACAACAATGATGAATTATTTATCTTAATATTATCATTAGTCTATTGTAGTCTTTGAAGAAAACTTTAAAAATATATAATTTGAAAGCTAATTGTTTTTAAATAGTAAATTTGTAATTATTTCATATATATTGAGTTTTCTCAAAATTTTCTTCTGTATTAAAATAAAACTCTTTGAGGTAAGAGATTAAACCATTCGGATAAGAGAATATTAAACTCCACAACTTTAAATTGATCTTAATTTATATTTGTAATAATAATAATTTATACAATATAATAATATATGAACAAGCAAAACAATCTTTAATCATTAACTAAAATAAGAATTTGTAGAATAATTTTTATTATTAGCTTCTTTAATTTTTCAAAAAAAGAAATATTTGATTCATAAAAAGTAGAATTCTTTAATAAATTATTCAGAAAAAATACAAAGATAAATAAAAATTCAACAAAAGAAATTTTTGTTGGACTTTTGATGAAATGTGCTATTTGGCAACATAAGAACTTAGTTAGAGTATATTTTTTTATACAATTAAAGAAGTAATCCAACTAACTTTTCTAATCTGGGTTAATTTTTATTGTGGAATATTTGAATTTAAGTCTTTGGATAAATTTTTGATAAGCATTATAAACTTTATTATCTTAATCAGAGATAACAAAAATTCATCATTACTTTATTTTTTATTTGCTATTTAGTTTTACAATATTACTCAAATATCTAAATGATCATAAAGTTATTACCTAGCTTATTTAAAAGACTAATAAATGTTATTATTGGATTGTTTGTTTTATTGATTATCAAATTAAAATAACATTGAATTTAGTAATATTTAAGTAGTTTTTGAAGAATACTTTTGATATCTGAATTATAATTTAAATACTCAATTTAAAAAACAATGACAATTGAATACTATAGAAATCTTATCGTTAATGTAAGTTCATAAGTTAGAAAATGGTTTAAAACAAAAATAATTAATTAGATAAACTTACAAGCCCTTTTGTATCATAATTTGTAAATAAATTTTATAAGGAGAATTTTTGAAAATGTTAATGGTTTTTTAAAGATATTATAGAGAGGAATAATTTAATATGAGTAAAATATTATAAGGAAGAGATTGGTATGTAATATTTAAAATTCTGAAATATTTAATTAATAATTATTACATTTAATTTTTAGTAGGATAAATTTTAGAATGCAAAAATATTTATTGGATAATTTGCCACTTTCTATACAAGAGAGAAACTTACTTTATGCTAATGGATAATAAGTATATGATTAAGTAATGAGAGATGGAGGTTTTGTGAAAGTATTAAATATAAATATAGATAAAGGTTTATTGTCAAAGAGAATTACCTGGATATTTAAAAGAGGATGATTGGGTTAGTTTTTATCAAAGTAAAGTGATAGTATTTGAATATAAATCAATGGTGGATGGTTCTTGTATAGGAAAGCCATATTACTATAATTATAGTGAGATGCTGAAAATATATGAAGAGAAATCTTTATCTTGGTTAAAACATTAAATAAGTATTTTAACAATAGATCAAAAAGCTTTAGAGATGATAAATGTATTTTTTAATTTTGAAGCTTTAAAATAAAATCATGGAAATTAAATAATAGATATAAGAGTATAGTAACCTGGATATGATTCATTTTTACCATGCAAAATAAATTAATAATTAGAAGGAATGAAAATAATGGATTATGTAGATTATCTTAATGATCCATAGAAATTTATAAAAAAGGAAGGACTTTAAGCAGATTAAAGATTATTTGCAGTAAATGTAAATATGTAAGGTTGGGATAAAGAAATAAATCATTTAAAATAGTTTTTACCAAAATGTTTAAGACCGTAAGGAGAGAATGATGGTTTAAGTTATTTAAGATAAGAGATTGATGGTGTAAATATACCTTAAATATATATCAAAACAGAAGGAGTATGGACAGGTGGACATTAAGAGAATTTAAGTGTAAATGCAATAAATATAAATCATGGTCCAGCGGATTGTGTTTGGATTACAGTTGATAATGAGAATGTTTAGAAATTAAGATAAAAAGTATAAGAATTATATGATACTGATATATTCAGAAATGAAGGATTATGGTTTAAAGAACCAGAATTCTTTTTAAAATATGGAATACCATTTAGATATACATTATAAAAGAAAGGTGATGTTGTTATATTAGGTGCAGGTTGTTTACATTGGGTTAAATCATTAGGTTAAACTATTAATACTGCTTGGAATCAAGTTGCTTTAGATGATATGACACTTGAAGCTATGAGTGAAAGACATAAATTAAACAAGGAAATTAATTATAGAACTGTTATTCCATATAAAAATTTAATGTTAGATTTATATATTCATGAAAAATCTCTATCTTAAATGACTATTGAAAGAATTTAATTAGAACTTTAGAACTTTTTTGATTAAGAAAATAGAAAATTACATACTATTGATCCACCATCTTCTTAATTAGTTGAATGTTGTAAAGAAGTATAATTATGCTCTAAATGTGAACATGAAATATTTCTATACTTTTATCATGACAATGAAGAATATTTATGTTTAGATTGTGTTTAAAATAAGCTTAATCATAAAAGTTTAT